GTCCCGGGCAGCCCGGCGGCTTTTCCTCGCTCCCTGCCGGGTGGGAGCGGGCAGGATAGGGAGGGAAGGGAGAAGGGCGGCTCAGGGCGGACAGAACACCTTGGAAAGGGTGAGGTGTGCAGCCATGTGAAGGGGTTGCTGCGGTAATGTGACTGGAAAGATGCTTTTACTCCTTGGTTTGTAAACAGCAGATCCTGTTACTCCGCAAGACAATAGAATAGGAAATCCACTTTATACCGGCCAATTTCTTATGAAGTCGACTATAAATCAAGAGCGTTTTCCCCTCAGAAATGGGTGTCACCACCTTGTTGTGTGGCTCGCTTTTATCGTCAGGTGGAGGAGGGGAAGAAAGCTTGGTGTGTGTCACTGTGTGGAGTCACGATAAAGAAGTGTTTCGAGAAATGATAAGCTTGGAAAGAAACTGATTTGTTTCCCATCCCATTTGATTCCCTTTCCCCCCTGAACTCCTCCGTATACTGTTTAGAGTCATAAGCAAAATAGTACACATTATAAATATAAATGCAGCCCCATGGAGATGGGGTAGGACTGTGATCTGGCATTGTGTTGTGCTCTCCCTAGACAAGCCAGCCATTTTCTCCACATCCAGTGTGACTCTGGGTCAGCATTTCTGTTGGAGTGCTTCAAGTGTCCTTGCTGTGCTCCTTGCACCATCGCTTATCTGCAAAAAGGATGCTACTTGTAGACACAAGCAAGGGGAGGGAAGATTTATTGTGGTGTCCTGAGGGTCACATAATCAAACCAAAGTCATCCAAATATAGGTTATTTGGGAAGTGTCTCTATTTTTGGACTTTATACTGCTTGGACCTAGGGAACTGTTTTGGATTGGGCACAAGAAGTACTTGCTGTTTTCAGCACTAATGAGAAGCTGCAATCCTGACACATGCAAGAGAGCACTTCACATCCAACATAGCTAAAATGCAGTTTTTACTGGATCTAATCTGGCCATCCCCTCACAGCATGTTATGTAACACTGAACTGATAGATCATTCCAGCTATAAAATACTATTTTTGTCTTACTATTGTATTGTTAGAAAATGCACGGTTTTTGAACACAATTTAATAGGCACTGTAATTAAATGCGCACTCGTTAAGTATCTTACCGTGTGTTTAACAAAATGCAAAATCATCAGCAAATCTCTAGAATGTTTTTATTTGGAGAGTAATACAGCCTTGTCCTCACTAAAA